AAAGGCAGAGACTTAACCCAAGGGCTTGTGGGAATACTCGGGGGACAAGGAGAGAAGAGCCATCAATATGGGAGTGAGACCCTCCTAAAACCTCAAGGGGATCACCACTCTCCTCTCTCAGGTCTCAAAGCTCTAAAGCTTCTGCTCAAGTGAATTGTATGTTGTCAGCTCTGTAGAAAGTGACCTAAATTTCCACCTGAGCAAGACTTAAGAACATGGAAATCTTCTTTCAGAGAACAGTCACATTGTGTGCACATTTCTCCTGCTGGAAAGGCTGTGTAGAAAAAACATATCTGCCCAAGATAAGGTGGCCAGGGACCTGACCCCACAGTGGCCTGGGACACTGATTAATAAAAAGCTCCAGGACTTATCTTATACCCGCCCCCCCCCATGCATACAGGGTTTCATATCATGTGTCAATTTACAAATCATGGACTTGACCCAAAAAAGACAGCATGAAAAAGATTACACTTGAGTTCAGGTTTCTGGCACATGGCTGAGTCAAAACAAGTGTCTCCAGTCTTGAGAGCTTATAGTAATTTGTTTTTACTGTAAGTTTTTCCCTTTACAAATTGCTTTCACAGGGACGCTTGGGTGATTCAGACAGTTGAGCATCTGACTCTTGATTTCGGCTCAGGTCGTGATCTCATGGTTCATGAGTTCGAGTCCCATGTTGGACTCCGAGCTGGCAATGCAGAGCCTGCTTAGGATTCTCTCTCTTACTCTCTCTCTACCCCTCCCCACATACACACTCTCTTTCTCTCTAAATAAATAAACATTTTTAAAAACCTGCTTTCACATACATTAGCCCCTTTGATTCTCACAATTCTTTGAACAATTATTATCCTCATTTTTCAGAAAAGGAAATCGAGACTCAGAGAAGACAAGTGACCTGTTCAGAGCCACACAGTAAATAAGTGGAAGGACTGGTCACAGCCAAAATCCACGTCTGCTGCCTGTTGGTGCAGACCCTTTCCTGGGGTGCTACACTGGCGTCTTGAGGGGCCCTAGGAATGAAGAACAGAGCTTTCTCTGCCTGCTTTGTGTTCTCAGAGTTGCTAAAAACATCTGGCCCTTCTGTCCTGCCCTGACACACAACAAATAGCATCAGTTGGTTTGATAAAGTGGACCCTTCTCCCTTTTTGCCAACTCTGGCGCCAAACTGATGGATGCCTGGAAATGCGGAAGGTGTAGGGCTAGAGCTCCCAAACCCCAAGCTGTCACTGATCACAGGGCGAGTTAATTAAACCTGGATTATTTAGTGATAGTTAATAAGATAAACTTCCTCCCAGAGGCTAACGGGAGCTGACACTGTGGTCTCCTAACTGTTACTATGATGAGGCACTATCTGCCACCAGAGCGGGGGTCTAGTACATGTATATACTTCCATGCAAGGGGGGTGATAGAAACATATTTCTAAAAACAGATTAACCCCTCAGCATCCGCTTAAAGCATACAGGATTTTACGTCACTAGAGAATTTAGGGCTTTGTCAGGAAAGAGGGTTATTATCCCCAGAAGATGTCCCCAGGTCCCAAACATCTGGGTATACCTGAGGTCAAGGGACACACATTGTTCAGAGTTAGCATACGAAGGTCAAGACCCTCTGACAACATATATGTCAGAAGGGACCTAATTTCTTCTCCTCATTGATAGACATACAGTTATTGTACATGGAGAATATTTACTTTGGGGAAACCTGTTTCTCGTAGCTAGAAGCCTATCTGTATTTGGAACAGACTGCGTTTTGCACACATGCTCACATCTGTCCCCAGCTAAGGAGTACCTTACATTTACACTGACCTCCAGACTCGAATCTGCCTTCCTGCTTTCTGGAGCGACGGGTGAGCAGACCTGCCCTGAGCAGAGTGAACTGACAGCAGCAGCTGGAGCCTGCATGTTTATGGCTGCTGGGACTTGGCGGGGGAGGTCCCCAAGGGTTTTTAATGCATCAAGAGACAGATCTCTTGCCAAGAACTGTCCCTTTTGCCTTGAAAATCCTATTGAAAATAAAAAGGAAGAAAAAGAACCTATCAACAACAATGGCTGCTAGAATGAATGGAAATACACTTACTATATATCTAATATTTATATTATTATTATTAGTTTTAGAATGCACATATTATAATACTTAATGTATTTTTTTATATCCTCCAGCTAGAATTTTCATAATAGGCACTGGATATAACATAATCCATTAACTTAGTGGATGCAGTTAGGTGGGTTCTATGGTTATGACATGAGGAAAGAAGAAAAAGCTGTGAGTTTGAACCCCCAGCCACTGGTCTGAATGGCTTTGTCTTTAACCCAAGTTAAGAGGTACAGTGACAGAGTCAGAAGCCTGTGCAGCTACGAGGGCAGGGCTGATGGTAAGCGAAAAGGTAAAAAAATGTGAGAAGGTACTCAAATGCTATATTTACTCTGAAATACCGTGTTTAGTTTTTTATTATATAGGCTTACACTGGTTTTTAAAATCTTTCTGTAATTTCTATACTGTCATGGGTCTGAAATTATCTAACCCTCTTTTCTTTCCCCTTTTGACATAATGACTTTTCATCTGGGGTGTTGACAATGCACGGTTTCTTAGCAATGTGGCCGTGCATGGCACCAGAACAGAAAAGATATGAATGTAGTATAAGTTGCTGCACCTCATCAACATAGAAATTTAGAGGAGGGTTACCCTTCGACTGGCTAAAAGAAGACACGGCAAAAGGCATGTCCATGGAACAGATTTCTTAAATACCTGGGTTGCTGTTTCTGTGTCTAACTGGTAGGTGATGCCCAGAGTTACATCTATTTGATGGGATGCATTTTGGGATTCATTTATGCACATTGCCACCTTCATGTGGCCAAGGTTAGCACTGGGCTGAGTTTGCATCTTGGAGCATATATGGGCTAGTCAGTCAACACTTAGGAGCAACTTGAAGTGCGCAGGCCATTTGCAACTGAAATGAAGCCATGTATGGAGACAGCAAAGAGTCAGAGGGCAGAGCTGTGAACTTTTCATGAATGGGTATTAACACATGCGAGCAGGTGAGCCACTAACCGTGGCTGGCTTATTCCCTTGAAACACAGTCCCTTCTTACTCGAAGGATCTCCTCCTGCAAGCCTGAGTTTAAAATGCTCCCTTCTTTTATTTTCCTTTCAAGTTTACTTATATTTGAGAGAGAGAGAGACAGAGAGAGAGAGAAAGCATGAGCGGAGTAGGTGGAGAGAGGGAGACACACAGAATCCAAAGCGGGTTCCAGGCTCTGAGCTGTCACCACAGAGCCCAACACGGGACTTGAACCCATGAAACTGTGAGATCATGACCTGAGCCAAAGTCGGACGCCCCTAAAAGTTTCCCTTCCTTTGTGAGCATTTCCGACATTGTCCCAGAAAAAACAATTGCCCCTTCTCTGGTTGCACTCACATGTCACTGTCTAACTGGTTACCTTATCGGATTGTAATCTTGTGTTTGCTTGTTGTTTCTTGGAGGGAGGGAGGGTGGCATTGTTTCCTTTCATCTCTGTATATTCCTTTCACCTTTCATGCTTTATATACAAGCAGGCTTATCACCTCAGTGGCCCTAAAAAATTATTGAATAGATGCACCAAAAATTAAAAATTACTTAAAAACTGGTTATCAAAAGCCCTTTGAAACAGATCAGAAGGAGGTAGAACAGCTGTTTTAAGTTGCATAAATATTGATGAATACATGGCAGGAGTAAAGATTTCTTGGGATGAAAATAGGAAGATGTATTTTGGGGCACTTGTGGCTTTTAGAACCATTTGTAGAGATCATTCCAAATTTTCAGTTAAAAATCCCTTCATCTTCTAAGACTTTGTAAGCTGGCTCGTTGCCACCAGTATGTTTTATGGCTGAGCTCTAAACCAGTAGAAAATAGGATTTATGAATTCTGAGCTTGCTGGTGCTACTTTTATTGCTCTTCTCGAAGACTGCAGTTTTTAAATGTTTATATGTAGTTAGCATTAAATTTCTGCTTTCTCCTAGACAAAGATATGACTCTATAATATGATAATATGCTTCATGATGAGGAAAAGAGGATGGCAGGGAGTAATGCCTGCACATTCTTGGTTCGCAGAGGAGTGCTCCATTTGGCCACTGCTAACCCAGCTGTGGGCGAGTTTTCATTTGTGTCTTCTTATATCTAGTCCTTTTCCCACTTAAACTCTCAGTGCGTTGGAAGTGGCCTAATTACATATGAAATATCCAAGACTTCTGAAACGTGCCCTTCCTTCAGTGGCCCTACATCTGCCATCACCACACTTCTGGCATGGCTCACTTGGGTCCTGAAATTTGCCTTAATCAGTTAATCGGCTTTCCCGGATTTTCTTTCTGAGGGATTAACTTTTCATCTCACTGTGCTGTGAACATCGAACAGGTAGGAAGCAGCCTGCCTTTGCCAAAGATAATGCAACTGTTTTTGATAGGCGGCAGGGCACCTGTACAGCTAATCAATACAAGAGCAGGTAGCAGAAGGGATTAGGAAGCAATGTGTATTGTGCTCGCCTGGTTTGGAATTAGTCATACTTTTCTTTAGGAAAGTCTTTCTCTTTCTCCTCTGAAAACAACAGCTAACATTTTCTGAAGTCTACCCTCTAAGTTTTTCAGAGCAGGGAAAGGGCATGGGAGAAATCTAAACTCCAGTGATGTATTCAGGTGATCACCAGTATGCAGGACCCGCTCCAGTCTACAGTATCGGAGCCCGGGTGGTGTGATCTTTTTTCAGCTAAAGTTGGTCCAAGTACAACCTTAGCACAGTTGAACCTAATAGGAGGAGCTCCGTGCATTCTCTGCAGGCAGCCTACTTCAGTATGCCGGTGCGTTTTTGCAGATGCAGGGACATTTGACGGGCACTCACACCTGTAAAAGCCCATTCAGGTTCTCCTGCCTCTCAGCTCAGAGCCCGCAGAGCGCCACTCTTGAACGTTTCCTGTGCTCCCTGGGATGTAGTGTGATTCCCCACATACTGATCATGTGTGTTCCATTTTGTCACAGGAGGACTGTGCCCGGGGTCCAATGATCCTTGCATGGAGAAGCCGTGTCCAGGGGACATGCAGTGTGTCGGTTATGAAGCCAGCAGGAGACCGTACCTCTGCCAGTGTCCACCAGGGAAGCTGGGAGAGTGCTCAGGTGCAGAGTGGGGTGGAATGATGAGGGTCTAAATTCATTTTCCTGAAGCACTTGCCCTTGAGTAAATTACACTGCCCTAGCCCTTCCTGAAGACATTTCTGTCTGCATGCAACATTTACCTTCAGAATGGACCACAGCTGACATCCACCCTCAAACGTACTTGGGATTTATTACAACTCCGGCCTGTGCTAAGGAAGCATGTAATGACCGTGGACTCCTTATATAACAGGAAGACCACAGCATGTGTTTTCAATCATGTCACATGGATGTTAAGAGTATAATAGTGGAAAATAGAAGGCCGTTGGTTAGGCAGAGGAGTCAGTATCTGTGGCATGGACTTCGATGGTCAGAGGGCTGCACAACCCATAGCCACAAAACAGAGATCAACAGAAGGTACAGCTGAGCCAGTCCAGTTGACCTCCCATGGGGTAAGCCCAGCCCAGAGCACCAAGTAAGCAGACTCTCCACTGGAAATACATATAATGAATGACATGCTCCCAGAAGGAGAGGTGCTCATCTCTGTGGAAGGAAGGAAGGGAGGGAGGAGGGAGGGGAGGGGAGGGAGGGAGGGAGGAGGGGAGGGGAGGGGGGAAGAGAGAAAAGAAAGGGAGAAAGAGAGAAGAGAGAAAGAAAGGAAGAGAGGGAGGGAGGAGGAAANGGGGAGGGAGGAAGAGAGAAAAGAAAGGGAGAAAGAGAGAAGAGAGAAAGAAAGGAAGAGAGGGAGGGAGGAGGAAAGAAGGAAGAGGGAAGGAGGGAAGGAAGGAAGGAAGGGGGAAGGAGAGAGGAAGGAAAGGAGGGAGAGGGAAGGGAGGGAGGAAGGAAGAAACGTATTTTGGTTCTTTCAATCCAAATGACCCTGTTACTGATTTTCACTCCATTGCAGTACTTTGTTTGCTTTGTTGATTCACATATTCTGTATCACTTCTAAACTCTATAAAGACCTCTTTTTGGTAGAGGATGTATTTAAAATACAGGCACACTGGTACCCTTTTTGGAATCCAAGAAGTATTTATTAACCAAACAATTATGCCTACTATGTGCAAGGCACTTTGCTAAGCATTGGGTTTTAGAAATTCATCCTTTGCACAGAGAAGCACTGTTCTCAAACGTGGAAGCTAAAGCTCTTTCACCGTTGATTTCAAGAATAGAGCAGCCCGTGAAGTGAACACCGGTATACTTGCCTTTGAAGTCATCTAGGGCTTAGATTTAAAAGATACTTACACTGCCCCTCCCCCTGCACACACCCTGTGCACACTGCAGGTGGTATGTAGGATGCCAACCAAGCCAACAAGTCTCCTAGCTTCAGATGTCACTTTCTGCCCATCTCCCTTCTCCTTTCTCTACAGAGAACTTTTGATTGTTCATGCTTGTCATCCATGTGGTATATTTTCACACTTTCCACCTCTCACCCCAGCAAGCCAGCTTTTCAGCATGACTTTGCTTGTTAGAACATAAAGTTGGAGGCAGTAAAATAGAGGGTGACCACAGAATTGGGTGATGTGGGGAGGACTGAGGATTCTGAAAAAGGGAGCCTTGAAATTAATGGCCAAAAAAATTGTAACAGCAGATGATTAAGACATCAACTCGCTTCTTTCAACATTAATGCAAATGATGTAAGTTGGCTATTTGGCATTAGGATACTCAGAGAATACGGATATTCTTCGAAAATGGCTTTGTCTTTCCTCTGCCTCATGGAGTGGAAAGTTTTTGAGTGTCTAAGTGGTTAGTGGTGGGAATGAAGGGGTATCTTTTCATGGTGCTCATTTTGGAAAGTGGGAATTGGGACATTAAGAAAACTCAGGTTATAGAATTTACCAAGTTTCCCTTGGCATGAGACAACTAAGATTTCTTTGGATAGCTGATAAATTAATATTTTTTCCACATTGGAATTAGAGTGGGGCCTGAAGTGGAGAACCAGTTTTTAATTTAAAAAATGGCTTCTCCTCAATGCCTTCATCAACTTCCCATGGTCTTTAATCAGTTTGCTTGATAGTTGTTGGGTGATTTCACATGTCCCTGACCATTTCTGGATGCTAACAGTATATATCTCTTCTCATAATGGTCTTTTCAGGGCACACTTCTCTCAGCTTTGCTGGAAACAGCTACATCAAATACAGGCTTTCTGAAAATAGCAAAGAAGAGGACTTTCGGCTAGCTCTGCGGCTGCGAACTCTGCAAAGCAATGGGATTATAATGTACACCAGAGCAAATCCCTGCATAATTCTGAAGGTAATTAAAGTGGGTTATCTTCTCTTGCAGTCAGTTCTCATGGTAATATTTTGGCTCTTGGATTGGGGACTAAAGTCTTTTTTTTTGTCTTTTGAGTTCAGAAGACCAGAAACTGGCTTTAGGGCACAGAGGAGCCACAGCAGGGCTGGGAAGTGCGCCAACACCCCATTTCCTTTTCTACACCCAACTTCAGAATTGGCTCTTCGGATACTGGGGCATCTCTCTCTAGAGTGGGTTCAAGGGCTGCCCTCCTTTGAGCTGTAATCAGGCAACAGTTCGTTAGAGTGCACTTCCTAATCAATTCCACGGCAGGGACAGTCCTTTAAAAAGATTGGCTGTGTCCTATTCTACCATATGGGTCTATCCCTGCTGACCCCTGAAGGTGACTTCTGTTCTTCCACAGGGAAGAAGTTGGAGATCTAGGGTCTAGAAGGTTCCATATGTCCTATTGTGGCTCAACTTTTAAATCATTCCCAGCCTCAGAAACCCTCCAAAGCAGCCAGATTTCCTTTAGAGCAAGTCTGGCATGTGTATGCAGCTCAGAACTTCTAGTGCCTTCATGAAATCAAAGACAACACTAATACTAACAGCTTTATGCGCCTCATATGTTTTTTGTTATAAAGTTAATGTAATAAATGTATCATATATGATCTTCCCCATCTGATCAAGGACAGAACAGAGATTCAAAAAGTTAGTTAGTTACCCAAGGTTGTTGGGCAAATGAGCGCCGAGGCCTGGACTTGAGTTCCAGTCTCTCTCACCTGGTGCCATTATCCTACACACTCTCGCCACCTCTCAGTCTTGCTGCTCGAATCATTTTATCAAAAGTCCCACTCTGGGCATCTGTAGACCAGATGAAGCCTTCCAGTATGGAAGGAGAAGGGAGAAAAAGGAAGGAGGTGTTTAATCTAATGCTGTTTTCACAAGGTCCCTTACTAGACCAGCCCCTTGTAAGTGCATTTGGAGGCAGATGCAGTCTGACCAGTATGAAGTACCCACACGAGTGGAAATGGCTTGCAATTTTTTCCTTCCAAGGTTTCTATCAGTAGGCTTAATTGGGATCATGGTGGGCCTTTATAGCTTCTGTCCTTTGATTGTTTGATAGGTCACATCCAAGTTGACTAGGTGACCCAGGCTTTAATCCTGGAGGGAGAAAAGAATGTAGGACATTAAATGCCAGTGGCTCCTCCTGTCACATAGATGTTTACTTACCTGTTTCTGGTATTGCCAGACATTATGTGGTGGCCAGAGGGAGCAGGGAGTTGGAGTTTAAATGTTGGCTACTTTCATAGGGAACCCCCCGTTATCTGTACACATTCAACTCAGAAGAGTTTCAGCTCTGGGAGAAAAAAAAAAAAAAGCAGTGTTTTTAAAGAAAATAAGAGAAGCAAAGGATGCACAGTTTTAGCAAATAATGAATTCAAATCTGATATTCATGGTGGAAGAAGAAAAATTCCAAGACCTTAGTCCTGTCTTTACAACCTTCTGGCCCCCAAAGCAAACTGCCTTGGGTCAGTAGATCACTGTCTATTTTATTTTATTTTTATTTATTTTTACTGAGAAAGAAAGGGCACAAGTGAGTGAGGGTGGGGAGAGAGAGAGAATCCCACAAGGGGCAGAGAGAGAAAGAGAGAGAGAGAAGTAAGGCAGGCTCAAGCTCACCAGATGCCGGATGCAGGGCTCAAGTTCTCCAGATGCAGGGCTCAGCTCACCAGATTCAGGGCTTGAGCTCACCAGATGCATGGCTCAAGTTTACCATATGCAGTGCTCGAGCTCACCGGATATGGAACTCTAACTCATGAATCACTGAAGTCAGATGCTTAACCAACTGAGCCACCTAGACACCCAGTAGATCACTTTCTAAACAGCCCTGAGAGGTGGGGCTTTGCATCATTGCTGGGAACGTGCTCTGCCCGTCCAGAGGGACCAACTACCAGGGGCGCAGCTTAGGTGCCTCTGACCTTCCTGTCCTCCTTCAAGCTCTAACAGGACTCGTGGTTGCAGAACCTCCTTATGAGGCAAATACTTTCTATTAGCAAATCTCTTATATATCATTAAATTTGAGAGAGAACAAAAATATTGGGCCTGAATGGCTTGATCCTAAAATGGAACTTGTCATTTAACACTTCACTGGCAAATGTCTCAAATGTGCAGATCCCTGGGGATGGGAAAGAATAATTAAACCTTTTTAGGCAGCTCTAGCTCCTAAGGTATATTGTATTTCATGAAACAAACGTCTTTCTGAAAGTTGTGTAAATTGAATCTCTGTAAATGGAATTCTAATAAATGGTGGATGGTTGCTATTTGAAGGAACCGTTCCATTAATCCCTTTGTGATGTGACTAATCACCCCCAATCTGTCTGTTCGCTAAGTTTGCTTTTCCTATGTCGAGTTTGCCTAAAGCAGGACACAGCTGTACTGAACTATCGCAGATAGTCTCCTCCAGTCGCCAGGAATATCCACTTAGGGGATTTGAATCTGTTTGCTTAACATTTCCAGCCTCATGCAAGATTTAATTTCATTGGCTTTAGGTACAGTATGTGCCTTGTACTTAGGTTCAATGACTACACTGAAATGCTTTGTTTAAATTGCACCTCTTGGTTGTTTATCTACTCTGGGTTAGAGCACATTCTCTAAAAAGTACTTGAGACAATCAATAGGGGTGAAGGGCACCCCTTGAAGACAGTCAAAGAATTGCATTGGGATCTCAAGAATCGAACATATTCATGGACAAGGGGCACCACTCTTAGCAATAAAGGCGCTCATTCTTCTGTGGACCACTGATACCCTGTCTTCTTCCAAAAGAGATTCTAGGCTTACTGTAAACACCAAAATGCAAGGAGCCCGGAGCACTGTTAAGATGACAATGAAAGGTTAAGACCCAATCAATAAAGTGGGGAAGGGCAGAATATCGTCACTGAAAACTCTAGACCAAGGGTTGCCAAGTCAGTTGAACACCAATCATGACTGAATTTCTTGGCTGCCAAAGCAAGGATAAAAGTGTTGGGACAGGTTCTCTGGCTCTTCTCAAACCTGTGAAAGAAACATGTCAGATCACCAGGAGGGATTTATAACTTTTTCCATCTATCAGTCTTTTGGGCCCCATATTTCAGGTCCCATACCAAAAGCACAAGAATCCTTGCTTGTTCATCTAGAAATGTCATTATTTCATTTTGTGGGGGAAGTAAGAGATGATGCACGGCTTTATTTTGATGATTCTCAGACATGGCTAGCTCAAAACTCCAGGAATGAAAGGAAGGTAACAAAAGCTCATTTGGTTTGTAAAACAGCCCACTTGGACTGGCCAAATCTTTCCAACATAAAAAAGTAACAAGGAAGCTCCCACAAGATTCCCGAGTTTCAAGGATCTCTGTAAGAGTATCACTGAGAAGTGAGTCAAGTTGTGATAATTGTAGTATGATGATAATAAAATACCTGGAAGTTTACCAAGTACTTTACCAAATACATACATGTATTTCTATCCTCACTCTCCTGTGTCTAGAATTCCTACTTTTTTTGCCTGTGAGGAAACAGGTTCAGAGAGAATCAGTGGCCTTGCCCAAACATAGCTGTTCAGAAGTGGATCTGGCCCTCTGGCAGAGGCAAGGCCAATAGGGAGTACTATAGGTGTTTATCAAAAGAAGAGGTTTGGAGGGCTGGGATGATAATTTATTTATTCATTTAAGGTATAATTTTTGAACTAGATAGCAATTTATGGCAGCCTTGAAAATACGTTTTCAAAAAGTTCCCTTTACAAAGAATATTTAATAACCTTTTTACAGAGAGAGAGCGTACAAGCAGGGGAGAAGGGCAGAGGGAGGGAGAGAGAGAGAATCCCAAGCAGGCTCCGTGCCGGGCACAGAGTCCAATGCGGTACTTGATCCCACGACCCTGGGATCATGACCTGAGCCACAATCAGGAGTCAAATGCCCAACAAATTAAGCTACGCAGGCAACCCCTACAAGATCTCTTCTTATAGCTTTGGTATCTTGCCTTCTAAGCCCCAACCCCAAGCCACTCAGGATCCAGGTTAAAGCACATCACTGATTTCAGACAAAACTGAGAAGCTAAATATCTTTCCCTGCTCTCTGAATTATTCATTTCATTGAACAAATTGCCCACCTGTCTCCCCCAACCCAACACATCATTTCAGATCATTGGTATAGACCTACTTTTTTTTTTTTTACAGTTTCATACACAGTCCAATTTTCTATTAAAATAGCTTGCTCTCTTCTCCCCCTCTCCCACTTACACACCCGCATGCTCTCTCTCAAAAAGAAATAAAAGAAAATAAAAGCTCGCCCTCTGATTTGAAAAAGCTTTGTCCTCTTAAAAGAGAGATCCTTTCAAACTGGGTAAACCCTATTCTGAAGACAGAGAAAGACTAAATATGATGAGAACATGAGTTTCCAGTATGAACAGACTCAGGTATGAAAGTGTTCTCTTCTCTCCCTGGCATAATATGCTTGTGAAGTAGGAAAGGGTGAACTTTTGCAAGGTAGCCTTTGATTATCAGCACTCTAGTGTGTCATCTAAACAAGGCTTATAATTTTTTTTTTAATATTTTTATTTATTTCTAGGAGAGAGAGAGAGAGAGAGACAGCGTGAGCAGGGGAGGGTCAGAGAGAGAGGGAGTCACAGACTGAAACAGACTCCAGGCTCCGAGCTGGCAGTCAGCACAGAGCCCGACGCGGGGCTCGAACCCACGAACCGCGAGATCATGACCTGAGCAAAAGTCAGACGCTTAACCGACTAAGCCACCCAGGCGCCCCAAAACAAGGCTTATAATTTAAACTCCTAGAATTTTGAGGCTACAGATCATTTTTGTTTTCAAAAAGATAAGGATGACGTACACACCTGGCTTCCTATTCATTCAACAGGTCGCTGCTATATTTTTCAACAGAAATAAAAACTTAACCGTACTCAGCATTAGTATGGGATCACTTTATATTCCTTAGCTAAAGAACTTTGATGTACGTGAGTACATTAGAGCTACTTTGCTTCTCCCAGGTGAATTTGCAAACTGGTTATTATCCCAAGCGTAGGGAGTAGGGTTGGGAGGGGAATGGACCGAGTAACATATTAATTGAAGAGATTCTTTTACAAAACCATAGATGAATTGCACCCTCATCACCAGATTTTCCTTGATAGTCTAGGGACACCACTTTGTAGCCACAGAGCATAATGGCAGCTGGACTGTGCTGGAAGAAGGAAGTCCCCAAAGTCTCATTTGATCATTTTATTACTTACATTGAAATAAAAATATGGATATTACCCAGGAGTTGTTACTGAGCGAGTATGCTGGTTTGATTTACAATATCTATCAGTCCCTGTTGTTGAACCAAAAAAATGACCAAGGCAACAGCACAGATTACATATGAAAGCTCTCTGAAAAGAAATAAATATGTCTCCAGCCTTTTCCTACACTTGCATTTCAGAGTGGAGTATGTATGTATTGTGTAGCTAAGCATTCTACAGGGGACACAGCCTCCTATCTCTATCCTCCGTATAAGGGGTCCCAAGCCCAGAGAGGCTAGCCAGTTCTCGCCAGGCTATATGACAAAGCCTGAGTTAGAGTTCTCATTCACAAATGCCCAGGGCTCTGGGGATAAATTCACACCACCCCCTGACTTCCATATACACATGCTCCCATGGTGTAAACTTTCTATGTGGGAAGAGAGTGAGCCAGAGAATCCCCAGAGGCAGAAACGAGAGTCCCAAACCATCAGTTGTCTGTGGGACACACTGAAGCACAGGTAGAGAAATACTCCATTAGTGAGAATGAGTGATACCATGAAAACCCCTATCAGGCTGTCCTAAGTCAAACACATTTTGGAAAGAGTGGGTGAGTCTGTTTCTATGAGTTCATTTGACATTTATACCTCCTTAGTTCTTAAAGACGTGGGAGGTCTGTCTTCCCTCCCCCTCCCCCTCCCCCCTCCCTCTCTCTATATGTTCGTGTTCTCTGCCCAGGGGTTGGTTAAGATTACCAATGTCAGCGGATCCTAAAATGAAGGCCAGCTGCCCTTACGTGTCTCAGACACAAGCCTCCATGAGACCCTTCGGCGGATCATATGCAAAGACCAGAAAAAGTAGCTTTTATTTCGGTCTCTGGCTGTGAATCCTTGCAGGACCCAGTATTGGTTGTTGCTAAGACAGGGTTCCAGCATCATTCCCTGGATCCTCAAGCCACCTTGCATTTCTGAGAAATGCAGATGAGGGTGGACCACAGGATTCACAGACTAGCCTTTGTCCTCAGCAACAGTTGACCCTGGGTCTCCATGGAGGACCAGTCCCTGGCCAGTGCTCTTGTCCAGCCACCATATTCAATAGCACGCACTTTCTTCCTGAGTTTAATGTCACCTTCTCCTGGACTGACTTGGATGCCCTTCCTGCACCAGTGCAATCAAAGAGGCAGGCAGGTCTCTGTTGTAGCTGACACTAGACCAGGGGCTGGGAACAACAGTTAACCAGAAAATCCTTCTGGAGGGCCAGATGTCATGGAAGGGATATAGTTATATTTGAGGCAAATGGCCAAACCCCGAGCACTTCGTGAGATAATCTTACCCTAAATGATGAGCAGGAGTCCTTAAGAACTGTTTTAAGAATATATTAGTGTCAGGGCACCTAGGTGGCTCAGTCAGGAATGTCCGACTTTGGCTCAGGTCACGATTTCCTGGCTTGTGAGTTCGAGCCCCTCGTCGGGCTCTGTGCTGACAGCTCAAAGCCTGGAACCTGCTTCCGATTCTGTGTCCCTCTCTCTCTCTGCCCCTCCCCCGCTCATGCTCTGTCCCTCTGTCTCTCTCAAGAATAAATAAAACATTAAAAAAAATTTTTTTTAAAGAATATGCTAGTGTTTAGTAGAGAAGGAATTTAAAATCTTATGTATGGACAAAGCTGGGAAGTAGATCTTTTCTTTCTACCTGGCCTCTTTCTCGCCCCTATAGCACACTCACACAGACTTACTCATGGAGTAGATACGTATTTCTATGCTTATTTGATTTATGGCAGTCTCCCCCCCCTAAAACATAAGCCCCATGAGGTCAGAGATAGTAACTCTTTTTGCTCATCGTGGCCTCCATAGCGCTTAGAATACTGCCTAGCAGAAAGATGTTCAATAAATATCTGTAAATATATATTGAGTTGACAGAAATCATTCCTGTGGTGGTAATAACTAAGAAGGGTGCAGAGAATAAACAGACCCTAAATAAAATGTTGCTGTGAAATGTCAAAGGGCAAAGAATAGGAACATTCTGAAATACAATTGTGGATTCGTGCAGCTGTGTTCCTGTTATTGGTGGCAAGATTTCTGACATTTCAGGCATGTGTTCTCATGGCCTAAAATGGGGAGAGATCAGACCACACCAGGTTTATGACTGGATCAAAAGCACTGTCCATCCTAAAGCTTGCCTGGGACAGGGTGGGGACAAAATGTCCGGGAATGTATTGCCGGATGCATACTGACAGGTGCTCCCGTGCTCGTTCCCCACGCAGATCGTGGACGGCAAGCTGTGGTTCCAGCTGGACTGTGGCAATGGCCCGGGGATCTTGGGCATCTCGGGCCGCGCCGTCAACGATGGCAGCTGGCACTCGGTCTTCTTGGAGCTCAACCGCAACTTCACGAGCCTGTCCCTGGACGACAGCTACGTGGAGCGGCGCAGGGCGCCCCTCTACTTCCAGACGCTGAGCACCGAGAGCACCATCTACTTCGGCGCGCTGGTGCAGGCGGATAACATCCGCAGCCTGACGGACACGCGGGTCACGCAGGTGCTGAGCGGCTTCCAGGGCTGCCTGGACTCGGTGGCGCTGAACAGCAACGAGCTGCCCCTGCACAATAAGCGCAGCAGCTTCGCGGAGGTGGTGGGCCTGACCGAGCTGAAGCTGGGCTGCGTGCTCTACCCCGACGCCTGTGAGCGCAGCCCGTGCCAGCACGGGGGCACCTGTGCCGGCCTGCCCTCCGGGGGTGAGTGCGCCCCGCCTGGGCACCTGCCGGGCAGGGGTGGGGGGCGGAGGGGCTGGGCGGACCGGGAGGGACTCGCTTTTAGGGGCATAACCTACTCAGGTGTCCTCAGTGACAGGAGCATTCACCCAAGATGCTGGCCAACCTTCCTACTCCTCTTTAGGAAGGTCCGGGGGCTTGGCGATTATGGCAGAGCGGGTGAGCACTTGCAGCAACCCACAGACGCAGGGCGGTGATCCCAGGACTCCAGAGTCGCTATCACGGCTGCCCCCTCCCCAGGGCACCCCACATCCTTCCAGGACTGGGGAGGAATAGGACCCGCTTTTAAGTATTTGCCCCCTTGAGCTACCTGTGTGTCCCTGGAGAGTGACTGGCTGCCGCCTGAGTCACTGACATCCCACACAATCTTTTGTCCTGCAGACATGTCACTTCAGTAGAAGCTAAAAGGAAGGAAGAGTTGAACCCACCACTCCTGGAATGGCAATATAGTTGGCGATGTTTTGCAGCATGCCTTTAAAATATGTGTATTAAGGGGCACTGCCTGGGTGGCTCAGTTGGCTAAGCATCTGGCTCTTGGCTTCGGCTCAGGTCATGATCTCATGGTTTCTTGGGTTCGAGCCCCACCGTGGGGCTCTGTGCTGACAGCACATCCCTGACTTCCCCCAGAGCCACGGACAGCGCAGTGGATCCCAAGAGCCTGCTTGGGATTCTCGTCTTCCTGTCTTTCTCTGCCCCTCCCCCACTCACACTGTTTCTGTCTCTCTCAAAATAAATAAACTTTACAAAGAATTATTTTAATAAGTAAAAATGTGTATTAAAAATAGATCTAGTGGAAATCCTATAAAAAGGTAGAAAGTCAGGAATAAAGAGAGGGCGCTTTACATGAAATCTCAGGGCAGGAAAACAGTCAGTGACACCATGATGATTCACCCCAATAATTTTTCCCCAAAACATATATCACAGTAAAGAAAGAACAGGGGAGACCAAAAAGGCAGGGGAAGGGTAAAGAAGGTTTCTATTGTTGGAAACCTGGGAGTCTGAAAATGAGAGCATCCCTGACTTCCCCCAGATGTGGTCTCTGTGCTCACATAAACTAGGTCAGGCACTCCACGAGCTGAAGGCTCTACCACCTTCCAGTAGCCCAGCCACACATCACACTTCAGGGTCCTTGCTGAGTCTCTCAGCAGTAGTGTGATTAGCAAATTTAAACCTTCCTCACAAATCACTTGGAGATTCTGCTGTGTGCATTACCATCTAACGTTCGTGAAGCCCAAGTCCAAATTTAGAGTCCATTTTATTATTAGAATGTTATAAACTGTCCACAAAATGATGCACTGCCAAAATACAGACACCGAAGTTATTCAGACTTGCATATGTTACCGCCACAATGAGGGCCAAGTGCCCTGGGGGGAAATTTCTGCCGTCTCGATTTAAGAAATCTATTTGCTGTTTTTACTGTCTCAGCAGTATATGTAAATAAAGGGTTGTTATGGTGCCATAATTCCCGAATGATGGGCAGTAACTATACTTCAGTGGTTCTATAAACCAGCCCATTATGACAAGTCATGGCCAGTTTTTCACCAGGCAAAACAATTCTGCTAGTGTGAGCCATCCACGATATATAAAAGGAGCATATAATTAAATTGGGTTGAAATAGAACACCACTCCATGTCAAATGCTGAGTACATAGCCACAAATTGTAACATACTTTTAACGATGTCAGGACATTGTTTTTTCTGGCAACGCTATGGGTTTCCACAATAGGTTATCGTTAAAATAATAATAATAATCACTGTAGTAAGGAAGAAGACTAGGGGATCTTGCTCTTCCGTGTGCATTTTAATTGCCTCAAATCCGTGAGCTAAGTATTCAGTGCAGGTATGTTAATTAAGTGAGTGTGACTCATATCAGCACAGATTTCCTTTACTTTTTTTTTTAATGTTTACTTATTTTTGAGAGAGAGAGAGAGCGCGCGCGCACACAAGCAGGGGAGGGGCAGAGAAAGGGGGACAGATGACCTGAAGTAGGCTCCGTGCTGACAGGCTGACAGCAGCAAGCCCAGTGTGCACCCTAGAGATCATGACCTGAGTCGGAGTCCAACGCTCAACCAACTGAGCCACCCAGGTGCCCTTCCTCTAGTTTTTAATCTCATTTGGTTTAACCAGAATTCAGCACTGAGGACCCACCTGCTGTATACTTGTCACATGGCCTAACGAACTTGCTTCTTCTCCCCAGGGGCCCAGCCTGGCCTACAGGTTCCGTTCTCTCTCATATTCCTCTTTGTCCCCTGCTCCCCACTTGGCCCATGATTGGGGTTGAGGTTGCGATTCCACAACAGGTACTCTTCCTTCCAAGGTGATAAAACCATTCCGGGGGCGCCTGGGTGGCTTAGTCGGTTAAGCGTCCAACTTTCGCTTAGGTCATGATCTCGCGGTTCGTGGGTTCGAGCCCCGCGTCGGGCTCTGTGCTGACTGCCAGCTCAGAGCCTGGAGCCTGTTTCAGAGTCTGTGACTCCCTCTCTCTCTGACCCTCCCCTGCTCACGCTGTCTCTCTCTCTCTCTCCTGGAAATAAATAAAACTTTTAAAAAAATTAAAAAAAAAAAAAAACCATTCCACAGCACAAGTCTCTCCTTTGTACATGGAGATCCATGTTCTTCTAAAACAGAGGAAGTATCTTTCTTCATCTGCTCCTCTATACAACTCCCTTCTCTTAAGCCTACTGTACCTGTGGAGCTGAGGATGCCCAGTGGTTTCTACCTCAGCAGTCCCCAGGACATGATCCCAATGCAGCCGTCTGGGGGTCTCATGCACGGCAGTACTGAACCCAGGGGCCAAGAAACTCCTCACCACCCACCGGGAAATCCAAGAAGAGGGTTTCTGTTGCTTCTCTGCGGTGTCAAAGGCACAGAATTCCCCCTCTGATGCGGAATCTTACCTGCTTCTTGGTACTAGGATTGAGACGTCAGCTTCTAAGAAAAGAGGAGAGGGAATCCATTTTCTTGCCCCCAAGATCTGTTCATATCAGACCAAGTTTTGTCTAGGTCCCTGTATCCTCTCTGCAAATTCCCAAAGTTGGTGTCAAATAGTAAGGGGGATAAAAACCAAGAAAACAACCAACCAGTGATTTGACCTTTAACTCACAACTATGAAACTATGTTACTAATTATAAGGTTATTTTTTTTAAAAAAGAATAAAGGTCCTAGTTGTGAGTGATGGTTTAAAAAGAATAAGACTGAGTCATTAATGAAAGAATATTCATGCCTTGAAGAATTCCCCTTGGCTGCAGGGGTATCTAATCACAGAGAGAGTCTTGCTTCCCCAGATCAAAGACTAGGATGCATGCGGTATGCAAAGAGGGAAATGGGGCTAGAGAAAGTAGAGTGAGGTGCTTCCGGTGTGACTTCATGCACGAGAATGCTGATGACATGTTATGTGACTGAACGTCTTGCTGCTCTTTGAACCCTGTACTCTGCTTTGCTCTTAATTTCCAGAATGCATAGTTTAGTAGAATCATTCCCTTGACCATTGAAGAATGCTGAAGTATTGGTCATTGGCTCTCCTGGTGACAGACTTCACATTTCAACTGTGGCTCTTCTAGCACATTGTTCCAGAACCTTCAGAGGTTGTTGTTTTTTCCTTTAAGTTTATTTATTTCTTTTGAGAGAGAGAGAGAGAAAGAGAAAGCAAGCACCTGAGCAGGGCAGGCACAGAGACCCAGAGAGAGAGAGAGAATCCCAAGCAGGCTCCGTGCTGTCAGTGAAGAATCTGATGTGGGGCTTGGTCTCACGAAGCATGAGATCATGACCTGAGCCAAAATCAAGAGCAGGACGCTTAACTGACTGAGCCACCCAGGCACCCCCGAGCCTTCAGAGTTTCAAAAGCAGACAACCTACAGCAAGAGGCATGTTCTTTCAAAGAGGCAGGATTCTGCACTAACCACCTCCAAACCCAATCAAACCCTCGGCATGAAGTGGCAAGGGAGCTGTGTCTGCTAGCTCGGAATGACATGGTCGGCGGCTTTGACCAGTGTTGTAACTCTAGCTGTCCCAAGAGCAAGCCATGGGAACCTCAGGGAAGTTAGAGCCCAGAACGCTAACTTGTAATAAGGGTATAAGTATGACTCTGTAAATCAACCACAGAGGGAAGGCTCTTTCCTGTTAAAGCCTTAAAATTATCTGTATTTCATAAACATGACCTGGAAATAGCAACCGCTGTGGAGAAGAAGTGGCCTCGTCCCACTCTGACCCCTGCATTTCTAGACCCAGTGGATAGGAAGCAGCCCACTGAGGACCCGCAGTCTGGATGCAGAGCCCTCCAATCCTCCATGCCTTATCCTGTTCAACTTGAGCCCATTACTGGAAAAACCTATTTGAAGCTAAGCTATAATTTAGCGAAGCAATGCAGCAAGCCAGGCAGTCCCCAGACCAGGAAGCGTCATTCTGTTTTGCATGAGACTAGAAGCCTAACTTTTAAAATAAAAAGTTGGTAAAATTTTTTTTTAATTTTTTTTAATGTTTTATTTATTTCTAGGAGAGAGAGAGAGAGACAGCGTGAGCAGGGGAGGGTCAGAGAGAGAGGGAGTCACAGACTGAAATAGGCTTCAGGCTCTTGAGCTGGCAGTCAGCACAGAGCCCGATGCAGGGCTCGAACCCACGAACCGCGAGATCATGACCTAAGCGGAAAGTCGGACGCTTAACCGACTAAGCCACCCAGGCGCCCCAAAAGTTGGTAAAATTTTAAGTGGTAACAGTTACCATTTAATAGACTCTTACTATGTCCTGGTACTTGCTGACCTTGTAAGTGCTTGTGCACAATACTCTGGGATCAGTATAAGTCTTCCCTCCCCCTGTCCCCATTTTACAGACGAAAACACAGACCAGAGAAGTTAAGTACCTGACCCAGCATCACACAATAAAGTGGGGAAGCCAAGATTTGATCCAGGTTTATGACAGCCCCCTCCCTACCCCACGCCAACCTGTGCTTTTGACCCTTGTTACTTAAAA